TGATGTGTGTTGCAGCCTATATGAATTTCAGTGCAGGCACAAAGAAGGAATGGTGCAGTGGTGCCGTTTCCAGCTTTGTCACCCGAGCACTTGCTAATGTGAGGTGGGTGCGGGGCGACCATCCTGGCCTCTTTTAAGTACTAGAATTACGAGACGGGTTTTGGGCTGTGACGGTCGTCTGCAAATAGCGTCCCGCGTCATGTCCCGTACGAGGAGTGTCGGCGTGGTGTTGATGCCAGTGAAACCTTTCTTTCGTCTACCCACCTGATGAAAATGGATGTTTCCCTGGCGTCGCCCTTGGCTGTGCTCTCTGCCTAGGAAGCACCTTGTTCTGGGGCACCCGAAGGCGTATAAAACATGGTCTGTCTCGAATCTGTAGGTGACGAGTCGGACGTCTGTGTCCCCGGCTGAGCACTTGCCTGGAGTGTCTCAGAGGCATTTCACAGTCACAGCTCAAATGTGACTCCCTCCGCCAAACCTCCTCGTCCTTCCCCACATCCCGTCACCAAGGGGGAACCTGAGAAATTGTGTTCATTTCCTCCTTCCCTGCCACCACCCACACCTGCGGATTATTCTAACTCCTCATTTTTTTTTCAAATCCATCTTGTCTAGGCTGTTCTCACCCTCAGTTTTTGCCGCTCCGTGTCCCACGTTCTCACCTCCTCCAGCTTCGTTGGCCTCCCCCCGCCACAGCCTGACCTGCCCCCTCTGCTGCTGTGCCTCTCTCAGCCCCACACCCGACCCCCAGGCTGTCCTACAACTCTCCCACCCTGCTCACAGTTCCCTGGGTGCACCCGGTTTTCCCGATCGTCAAGCCTTTTCCCACATTTGTACCAGTGTCTAAAATGTTTTCTCTCCACGTCTCCCCCGACTGTACATTGCGAATGACTTCACCAAGGCCCACCCATGGAGCCTGGTTCCTTTCCCCAAGCCCAGTGTGCTGCCCCTGTGCCACGATGCCAGGTGCGCGCCGCCCAGTGTGGCATCCGCAGTGCCCAGCACTACGGGTCATCGGCAAATGTCAGGTAAACAGATACATGGGCTGCTGGAGGGGCGCTTGGTTCAAGACAGAATTTGCTCCATGAAAAAGAAAAAGCATTTTTTCCCAAGTAGCCCAAACTATGTTTCAAGATAGGCCAATATATTATGCCATTTAAAATTTTTATTTTATTTTTAGTTGACACATAATTGTGCATATTTATGGGGCACCATATGATGTTTTGAGACATGTATATCATTTTTAATGATTAAACCCTCTCTTCTAGCTATTTTGAAATATACCACATGTTGTTGTTGAGTGTAATCACCCCACTGCGCAGCGGAGCACTAGAACTTACTGCCCCTACCTACCTGTAACTGGGACCGGTCTCTCCCCATCACTCCCCGCCCCCAACCCCTGGAAACCACAATTCTCCTCTCTTCGTCTAAGAGCAAGTTTTTTAGATCCCACGCGTCAATGAGATCATGCACTATTTGTCTTTCTGTGCCTGGCTTACTTGACTTAATGTGTCCTTTAGGTTCATCCGTGTTGCCGCAAATGACAGGGTTTCGTTCTTTTTATGGCTGAATGGTATTCCCTTGTGTGCATAGACCACATTCATCCACCGGTGGATGCCTGGGCTATCCATGTCTGGGCTGTTGTGAATAGTGCTGCAATAAACATGGGAGTGCAGATGTCTCTTCCACATGCTGATTTTATTTCCTTTGGATCTATACCCAATAGCAAGGTTAGGATAGGATCTATACCCAATAGTGAGGGTAGATCAATTTTGAATTTTTTGAGGAGACACCATACTGTTTTCCATAATGACTGTGCTAATTTACATTCCCACCAGCAGTGTGTGAGAGCTCCCCTGTCCCCACTGCTAAGCTCCAGTCCCAGCTCTTCCTTCTATCAGCTGGTGACCTCAGGCCAGGCACCAACTTCCCCAGGCCGCCTGGTCCCAATCACAGCCGTCACTGGCCAGTCGGCTGCTGGGCGAAATACTACCTCTCTATGCTCTGATGTCTTCTTCTGCGAGGCAAGAATGACAGTACCTACCCCTTAGGGTTATTTTAAAGATTAAGTGATTTGCAAAGCGTTTAAAAAGTGCTTGGCCAACAAAACTTTAGCCAAAGTGGATTAAAGGCCTAAATTTAAGCTAAAACTACAAAAATCATGGACGAGACCATAGAGTAAATACTCGTGCCTTGGATTTGGCAATGGATTCTGAGTTGTGACACCAAAGACACAAAAAATAAAAGAAAAAAATAGATGAACTAGGCCTAATCAAAACTAAAAGCATTAATCCTTTGTGGTCTGGCTCTGAAGGCCCCTCCCCGTGGAGCCTCTCCTAACCCCCTGGACAGGACGGCTTTCTGTGACGGCAGCAGAGACAGTGGCAGCAGAAGTGTTGCTGAACCGGACCCGGGGCCGGCACTTTCTCGGTGCTCTGAATTTGTCCTCCCACTTGCTCTTCACATCTGCCTTCATCTTAGGTCCTGTTATCATCTCTATTGACAGGTGAAGAGACTGAGGCAGGTAAAAGTCCAGCAGCATCCTCTGAGCTCCCAGCGCGTGGTGCAGACGCTGTCCCGTGGCCTGGCGCACCCCGAGCCGTGCAGACTTGGATCTCACTTGTGAACGTGAGCTCCTAGGGCCCAGGCGCTCAGCGCCTCCCGTCCCTGCCCCAAGGGGCCTCGGTGGCTGCTGCAGGGTGCGAGAGCTGGTGACGCCAGGCCTTGATCGTGGAGGCTTTGCATTCCAGACGGGGGGTTTAAGCTGTATTCCAGAGTGAACAGAGTGGCATTTCACAAACAGAATGGCGTGGGAAGAGGGATGTTTCGGCAGATGCCACTGTGGACCGCAGCCTGTGAGGCGAGGTGGAAGGCAGTGGAGGGAGCATGGAGCCTGTTCTGCATTCAGCCCGGGCCACACAAACCTGCAGCAGCCGCGGTCATGAGGAGCGTGGCTCGAGGAGTTGGGGACGGCGGAGCGTGGACTGATCCAGACCTTAGTGGCCTCACCTGGGGCGGCACTGAGCCACTGCAGGAACCTGAGTGAGCCTGAGTCTCTGCACAAAGAGGATGAAAGGGAAAAATCAGCCACTCACCCTAATGTCTGGCCTGGCCCAGGCCCAGCACCCGGTGTCTTGCAGCCTCCCAGGGTTTAGCATTGCAGAACCAGACAGAACCAGAAAGCTTCCAGCACCTTTGATTCGGGTATCTCAACCCGAATGTCAAAAGGAAAATATGGAACCTCTTCAAAGCAAAACACACTCTTCTTAACAGCTTGTCCTTTCATTTTCCTTCCATTAAAAATAAAGCCATGGTGAAAAAGGATTTAATACCTATCGTGGCAAATTTTACTTACGTAAAATATTAATTGGCTACGGTCCGATTTGATTCAAAAATCCATTGTAGACTTAGAACACATTAAAAAAAAAAAGCTAAAACTTAGCAATACATCTCACCCTTAGGCAAACTCATAAGAACAGCTGCTGAGATTAAATTAGAATGTGTACTTGTTTCTGGAAGTTTTCCAGCTCATTTCTGGTTGAAGTGAACGCCGCAGGAGCCAGGGGCCTCGGCGGAAAGCTGATACTCGACGGTGTTTTGGAGCCGTCCTCTCCGAGAGCGATCTGGGGAAACTGCCTTTTTTGTGCTTTTAATAAAAGACGTTCAACATTTATGCCATTTCCTATGTCGTACAAAATACTTTCACTCAATAGTCCCCTAAATGGCACTACGATATTTTCTCTACTATTTCTTTTTAAAAAAGCAACTGGTTTGAGTCTCGTTTCTTGGTCTGCATGCACAGCCCGGGCGCCGTAGACGCTGGGTATTTGCGACGCGTGACCAGCGTCGTGCCTGAAGTAGCGATAGGGGCACGGGCAGAGAATTCTGAGAGCTGCTCTGCCTCGCCCCATGCTTCACCCCAGACCTCAGTTCACCCACCAGGGCTGCGGGTTCTTCTGCTGTCCCACCGGCGGGTCTCCCTCCAGCTCCGGAGCCCTGAGACGGGCAGCAGGTGCCTCAGAGTCCTGCTGCTTTCGGGGGACTCTCGTCCTATCACGCTGCCCCCTGCGCAAATGCCTGGGGCTTCCGGTCGCCACTGGGATGCCGCGGCGTGGCCTGCAGACCCTCCAGCAGCTGGCACCAACCTCCCAAGCCTCCTCTCTCAGCCCTTGTCCGTTTCCACTCTTGGGAGGTCCCTAGAGGAGCCAAGTTCCCAGAGACAGAAAGTGGGGCAGTGGGTGCCAGGGGCTGGCAAGGGGACGGGGACATGATATGTAATGAGGGGCACAGAGCTGCAGTTCGGGAAGATGAGAAGGTTCCAGAGATGGCTGGTGGTGATGACTGCACGGCGTAGTGAATGTACTGAATGCCACCAAACTGCACACTGAAAACGGCTGAAATGGCAAATTTCGGGTTGTGCATATTTTACCGCAGAGGGAGGTCTTACCTGCCCTGTGGCCTAAATTAGGCAGCCCTGTTACGTGTTCCCAGAACTCCACATGCTTCCCTGCCGGAACCGTGTCTACTCTGTGCCCCTTATCAGACTGTAGGTATGACAAAGGCTTACCGTGGTCACCACTGTGTCCCTACACAGCACAGAGAGTAGGCGCCCACCACATCATCGTTAATGGATGCTGAATAAAACTCATAGTATCCCAGAGCATCAACTGTTGGGAAAAATACCATGGCTAAAATGCTCAATCGTGTTTGACATTAAAATACCCAAAAGTATCAGACCACAAATAGTCCACTTGCGGTAAATGACAGCATCGGGTCGAGCACGTGGAGTTCAGCCTCTGATCAGTCCTTAGGTGTAGATGGTGTTGGGGTTGGGCAAACCCCAAATGATCCTGAGACGACTTTGGTTTTATCAAATAAATGCAACAGGAAAATGGAAACCATGATGGTGATTTCAGATTTTTTAAGGACACTCTATTTATCACCACTTCCCTTGGTTAATGCTGCGTTTCGTTTTTTTGTTTTTTTTCCTGTTTCCAAATTAGATATTTATCTTTGAGAACAACATCTACTACTGTGCGCACGTCGGGAAGCAGGCCATCCGCGTGGTCTCCACGGGGAAGGAGGGTGTGATCTACAACGGCCTCAGCGACTGGCTGTACGAAGGTGAGGCGCTCAGAACCCAGATGGGAAGGGTTGTAGTCACTGTCACTGCTGCTACGAGATTGTTTTTTTTTTTTTTCTTTGACTTAACTATAAATCAGACTCCAGTTTCCTGAAGTCCAACTAAATTAAAAAGATTCTGTGGGAGCTTCCAGGAGCACGGGGCTATCAGCGGAAGCCTAAGGTGCTGAGCACACACCTGGCAGCCAGGTGTGCCCGGCCTGGCAGAGCCTCCAGCTCTAACCTGCAGGGCAGGAGGCACTTCAGTGGGAGAGTGATCATCCAAGGAGGGGACCTCTGGGGACATTCAGGGATTGCAGATGCATGTGTTTTTCCACCCTGACTCTAAGAGGCCGGGTGCCTTGGGGAGGGGACAGCTGAAAAAGAGAGAAGATGTTAAATCTTTCCAGAGAAACCGGTCAGAGTGACTTGCTATTCTGAGTGCGTCTGCTTTGACGGACACTTTCTACCACTGGTTTGCCTTTGGCACCATGAGACTCCTGCTGTATACATTTTAAACAACTAAAAATCTGAAGAGAGACGCTCTCTTCTTAAGCGTTTACAATCCGTGACCCACTGCTGTAGGTGCCGGTCCCTGTCCCGGCACTTTGTCACCTATCCCCTGGTTTAACCCTCTGCCTTCATTCGCTCCTGCTGCTGTGATGAGATACCCCACGATACCGTCGGCTGCGTGGCTTCCACTACAGAAATGTGTTTCCCACAGCTCGGGGGTCTGAGCTCGCTTCTCAGCCTCCCGCCTGAGAGCATACGGCCGCAGCAGTAACCCGCCACGCCAAGCGGGCAAGGGACGGGCAGGGATGTTCCGGGCGCTCCGTCAAGCCGTCATCATTTCTCCCAGCGCGATGCGTTTCTCCAGCCGGGCCCTGCACTGCGGCGGCTTTGTGCGTCACGAATCACAAAGCAGATGGGTGTGCGAGCTCAGCGTACCTCCCTCGTAGTTCCCCTGGAGTCCTAAAGCTCTCTGACTTGATTTTTAACTCCTTTTAAATTGTCGTATAACTTGTACACGAAAAAATGCACATTATAAGGCCAGTGCGACGAGTTTGACAAGTGTATATACTGGGTATCCCAGTCACGACACAGCACATTTCCATCATCCAGAAATTTCCCTCAGCCCCTTCCCCACCCCAAGTCCCTCTGCCAGAGACCCCACCATCCCGGTTTGCAGTCAGCTTTTCCCGACAGACACCCACATGGGGCGTCCTCCCCAGCGTGGCTGCCGGGGCTCCGAGAGTCCAGCGCCGAGTGGCCTTAGCCCAGCAGGATCAAGCCGGAGGCCTTGCTGTCACACGGCGTCCTCAGCCCCACCCGAGGGGGCTGCTGGAATGAAACGGACGCCGGCCATGGTCCGCCGGGGTCAAGCCCGCTCTGGGCAGAAGCAGCCCTGGGGGACGGTGTGCCCTGGCCTGTGCCCCAGCCCCGTGCAAGAGGCACAGCCGGCCGGCCGCGGGGACACCCCAGAGCAGCCCTGCGTCCGCGCACTGGCGCAGTTCCTGTGGTCCCCGTGCCTGTGCTGGCCGCCCGTATCCGGCTAGGCTGTCGACAGTGAGGCCTTATCCGCAGGATCGGCTGGAGACTCCGTCCTGCCTGTCCCTGGTGTCGGGCTTCCCTCTCACTGCCTTTGCCGCAGCCTGACGGGGCTCCCTGTGCAGGCGGGAAGGGGAGCCCGGGGCGGGGACCACAGTGCTTCGTGGTGCAAAGCAAGGCTGTGGATATTTTAAAAGAAATCATTGTAATAATGTGGTTATCACTGTAACTTTTTTTATTGTAAAGGGAAAATATTTTTTTAAAAAAGGCACAGGGATCAAGGTGACATTTCCCCGGAGCATCATTCCATCATATTTACAGAAACTGACCTGGAAGTTTAAGAGAGCTCCCCTGGAAATGACGACCCGAGGCCCTCAAAGACACAGGTCCCCTGGGGTGCCGGCTGCGGGAGCCTAGGCGTGCTCTAGGACTAATCTCGTCAAAAGATCCATAACCAGGAGATTTAAAATATCTTTTTTAGTATCTTCTTAATAAAATAAAAAGTTCATTGCTTTGCCATTCAAGTTAAGCTTTTGCCTTAGCAAATCCATTGAAAGGAATTTTTCTCTTCAAGGCATTTACTGAAATTGTGTTGATGTGATAACAGCCCTAAATATTCTAAATCAATCACGGTAGCCGTGGCAGCTTAATCTGCTTAGTGCTGTTCCCCGGAAGGTTGGATACGCTGACGCTTGGATTTCTGAAGGTGGGCGCACAGGAGCCCCTGGGGAATCTTGCTTCCTTTTTTAATAATGGGAAAGCAAACTTTGAAGGTTTTCGCCTAATCTGTGACTTAACTGTTTCACTTCCAGGCTCTGCCGTAAAAAAAAAAAAAAAAAAAAAAAAAAATTGTGCAGGGGGAGATTGGAAGGGAAAATACGCTGAAAGCATTTGCAAAGGGCCTGACTCATTGGGACTGTTGGTTCTGAGGAGCTGAGCCCTGTAAGTGGGCACAGCCACTGTCGGCCACGGGCTTGTGGGCAGCAGAAAGCCATCGTGATTTGTTTGTTTCCTGGAAAGGGGCCTAAATGCGTTGAACATTGCAAAATACTGGGGACCAAGGGAGAGGAGAAGTGGGAGCCCTGGGTGCTGCCCAGGGTTCACGGGAGCAGTGTGGGATGAACCTCCAGGGAACTGAGCAGCTGCCACGCGCCAGAATGCCAGCTCGGCGTCGGCAGAGAACGCGGTGTGCCACCACCCGGCTCCTGACTCTCTGGAGATAGTCCCTGGCTCGTGGTGGCCACAGACAGATTTTGATAAGCGATATGCATAGGTTTATTTTATTCTTCTGGGCAAATGTCATATAATTACATAGAATTTTGATTTTTAATATAAAACTAAATACAGCTTAATGGTATCCTCTGACTGTTGCAAGGTTTACTAAAGTTGGTTATTCATAAACTAAAATTAAAGTGTTGCTAGAGTTTTTGAGGACTCTTGACGAGTGTTCTTTTAAGAATTTGCTCTTTCACATGAGGCTTAGAAATTTTGCAAAGCTCATGATATGTGGGCATACGAGCAAAGAGTTGGAATTCTCCCAATGTTATAAAAGGTGCTTTGTCACCACTGCTACAGAGTTGCTGTGTCTTCCAGTTGCTGCTCCTCATTTATGAATTACTTGTTCGTTCACTTTTATTATCATCATGTGCATGAGGTGTAGTGGTACAACACAGAATCCTTGGCTGGTAATTTTCTCATAATAAGACTGTAAGTTATTAAATGTTTTAGCCTCTATTTCAAAAGCAGTCATCTGTATAATCCAGAATAAATATAATTATTCAGTGACGTGCCATTACCATGGCATGGCTCACACCTCTGTGGAAAGCTGGGACGCGTTGGGGTCAGTGGAGAAGACTCCTGTCTCCAGCTGTATCGTATTGAAGATCTCGCTCTAGAAAGGCGGTGGGGGCAGGTGGGGGCGATGAACTTGATAAGATACTCACAGAGCACGGCCTGGAATCAGGGCTGGGATGGCAGGGGTGGAGAAAGTGGCCTGGAGGTGAGATTAAACACTTGTTTAATATCTGGTGTGATGTAGGTGAAATTCCAGGGCTGGATTTAAGCTTAAGTATGCCGGAACTTAAAGGTACTTGGCAGATGCGCTCAGAGCAGACCTGTTGGGCGAGGCGGCACTGCCCAAGGCCGTCAGCGGGAATGATGTTTAGTAAGGCTCTGGGCCGGCTGCTCCTGGTGTCGGTTTGCCTTGCCGGGTCCTGGGACCTGCAGCCAGCCAGCACCTGACAAACAGTGGCCGGGGAAAGTCCCGAACCCACAGTGCTCACCCTGCCCAGGTGCACTGCCCACCCACGCCCTGCAGCCTTGCTCTGCTCTCCTGAGGCCACCTCCTTCCTGGGGCTCAGCACCCTCCACCATCCCCACGCTGGCTCCGTGCAATACCCACCCACCTGGCAGCCCCCCAGAGATACCATCTCCACTGTCCCTGACCACTGCCGGTCACTGGGGGGCTAGTGTGGAAGAAGTGGGTGTGAGGCTGGTCTGGCCCAAAGAGGCCGTCTTCCCAGTGTTGCTGCAACTGAGTTGGAACCCAGAATGCTCTAGAAACGTCGTTGGCAATGGAGTCAGGCCTGCTGTATAAATAGGGCAGGACCTCTCTGAAGCCAGATTCATTCAGTCCTGCCTGATGAGCACCTACACCCTGGTCACATGATCTTTACCCTTCACCTGTGTGTCGCTGCTGATGTCCAGAGACTGCAGCCAGGATGAGGTAAGGCCTGGTTTTCAATTTTTTACACAGTTTTTCAAAGCGTCTTTTAAAGAGTCTACACTAATGACCAGTATTTCTCTCTTCCAGCAAAGTGCTCTCAGGGGCATCAGCAAGAGGTTGGGGGACCCTCGGTTGATAAATTTGAGTTAATGGTGGTTTTTTTGTATAATTCGATGCCTCATGTTAATAACTTTGAGTGCTCAAGGAGGTGTGGGGTGGCTTTCATGGGGAAACAACGTTGTTACAACAGGAGCATTCATGGAGATCATGGAACACTTTCGAATGCGTCTGTTTTGCACAGGAAATGTATTCCCCAAGACGAGGGAGCTATGTCCGTCCAGATCACCCTCAGCTTCTAAATCCCATGAAAGCAAAAGAAAATTAAGTAGCATCTCACATGTAACTTGCATATTGGCTTTGATTTACATTCACGGTACATTACATACTTTTGTGCCCTGTATGTGCTGCGGAGTGCTCAGTGCCCGTTTTATGACTGCCACCGTCTTCCAGTGAGCACCGCAGCCTTGCACTTGCAGAGGTAGATGGAGAGCATACAGCACACTGCCTTGCTGTCAGTGAGAAAGCATTGCTGCTGCCTCCTATCCCTTTTTTTTTTTTTTAGAGAGATGGGGTCTTGCTATATTTTCCAGGCTGACCTGGAATTTGAACTCCTAGGCTCAAGTGATTCCCCCAGCTCAGCCTGTAGTTGGGACCACAGGTGTGCACCACT